TGTGTTGTCCAAATCTTTTATAATAATTATTTGTTAATATAATAATTTATTTATTTATAAATTTTATTAAACGAAATTTAAATCGTAGAATTTCTTTTTGAGATAAAATATGTTTCTATCGGGGTTTTTATATAATTTCATAAAGAAAATTCTTATAAGGAAATGTATAATGTACGTATGTGTGTGTATGTGTGTGTGTGTGTGTGTGTGTGTGTGTGTGTGTGTGTGTGTGTGTGTGTGTGTGTGTGTGTGTGTGTGTGTGTCGGCGCATGGGACTTCTACTGATCGATATTACCGTGGTGCACGCCTGTCGTATATATACGTACTCTTTACCTTCCAAAATTACTCTAAATCAGAATCCCTGGATATTTTCAAGATATTCAAAGATAGAAGTGCATTATTTTATTCTGAAAACGAAGCGAGGTGTATCTGGTTTTCCTCCGGTTTGATTTATATTTTAGATCGGCGCGCACGAAATATCGAATTTTACATCAATAATTTTTGTGCGTCCTATTTCCTTATAAAGAATGTATAAATTATTTAATTTGTTAAAATTTAACGTTATATAACTTAATGCTTTAGCTTTTATACATAAAAATATATCGCGTTTGCTTCCTTTAACACAGCTATATATATTTTTCATTCGATGTTTATCGAAAGTTTATCCTTGGATCTAATAAATTTCTGCTTTATATTTCTAATCCAAGAAGTTTGCAAACCGACGATCGGCAACGTTAACAAACTGACGAACCGATTGGCGTCGACCGATTGTTTTGCGGTCCGCAAACTTCCAACGTGGGTCCAGAGTGATCGATGCCGGACTGGAATCGTTCAACAGATTCGTGCGCGTCGACACATATCGCCGACGCGACATCGCGAGACCGAAGCACGGAATTGCCGGAATTGCGATCGCGCTTGTTACACGCGCGACAACGCTGACGACGACGACGACGACGAAAAGGATTAATTTTCATTTGCTCGCTTCTACGTGCATACGCATACGTTTAACCACGCGATGAACATCTCGAACGAATCTGAAATCACCGAGACCGCTTAATATCCGTCGTAACAGCCATCACGGTTCGATTTAGACGATGCTCTTTCATCAGATTATTAAAACGCAGAAACGTAGATGTCGAGTATTCAAGGTTCGTCGCAACTGCGGAATTTGCATTTTATTTCTATAGAGCACGGAGGCATCAATTACGGATTGATTGCAGTCGTATAAAGATCGAACCGATCTTGATACGCACGACGCAACGATTTTTTTTTCCTCTTCGATAATCGCGAATGAAGTACAAGGTAGATCTAATAGACAGAAATGTAAACTTTGAGATTGATAATTGAAGCAACGATGGACGGCATCAGCCATTCGTCCCAGACTAATCATAGCTCTCTCTCTCTCTCTCTCTCTCGTCGTCAGGCGTAGTTTAATCGGTAAGTTTCGAAGTGATATTAGCCGATCAAATCAAGTCCCGTATGTATCTAACTGGAATGGACACGCGATAAAAGATGTCGACGCCTCTTTAAGGTGAGAACAAATGAGATGAAATGTTAAAATGGAAAAACTAGAAGATAAAAATTCATAAAGGGCAGTTTGTATGCGCGATTCATTTATCGATAGGAAAAGAAATAGGCAAAGATTGAATATGTATAATGATATCATAATATTTTTCGATGATAAGTTAGTGCTATGATTCTATAATGAACGACTATTCAAATTCTTTAATGATTCTCTAAAAATAATTAACTTAATGATTCGAAAACAATCAGATCGTTCCTTCCCTATTATTTCTCAGTTCTCATCTTTAGAAAAATTATTTTCGCAAATATATTATTGTAATTTTTAAGATGTATCTAAAAAAATTTTTCTCTACTAGCTACCGGATATTATTATTTTTGAATGATGTAAATTCATGGAAATCGTCGTAGCGGAGAATTTTTCCCATCGTGCACGATGATACCATCAATTATAATACTTTAAAGTTGCGATTCTCGGCCGGTATTTCCTGGTTATTCCGACGATAACATTCATCGTTATCGAAGGACCGATCGATATGGTTGTTGTGAGGAGACTTTGGACCGCTCTGATAGCAGAGAGACTGCGGGAGGAGCGGACGGTCGAATAAAAGGAGGAAGGGTCGAAACGGTGCGAGAAGAATTCAGCGGTAGTTTGTGGAATAGGAATTGCCCTTTGAAAAATTCTTAGCGAGGATGGATCAGAGGGAAAAAGCTGATAAACCAAGGTATACAGGAGATAAAGAGATGCGAGAAAAGTATGACTAACAGAAATAAGGCGAAAAGGGCGAGGGGGAGGGAAGGGTGGGAGGTAGGTTGAACCAACGTGATAGAGCGAGAGAAGGATGAAACTCCCAACGGGAGAGAGAAGGAGGGGAGGGGGGGGAGAGAGAGAGATGTGAAGAGTAGCTGCTGTTGGCTGTGGCTCCCCGATATCGATTTCCGATAGGCGGCATTTAGTGCTCTGTATATTCTGTCTGGTCCCCATACGTGTCTGATACGAGGACATATACGTATCCGTGATGGGTACGACACCGTGATACGCGGCAGGCATCGGAGAACCGGCGGGAGAAGGGGGAGAGCAGGGGGGAATAGGAAGGAGAGGCGAGAGGCCGCGGGCGCTGCAAATTGCAGTCAAGCGGCATACAAGGTGACGCAAAGGGAACGGCCGATGCGTTCCCGATGAACCTCGGAGGCGAATGACCCTTTCGCGTAGCAATTAGAGAGACCCCGAAGAGAGATTGAAGACCGATGCTAGTGGTGATGATAGAGATGTAGTGGTGACGTAACGTACAAAAAATAAATTTCAGCAAAATACTAGAGTTTTCGATAGTTTTAATATACGATAGTATAATATATAAATAAAACTGAAATTAAATAAAATAAGTTTAAAATTTAAGAAATAAATAATAAATAATGTAAGATAACAAATTTTTCAAAAATTTATCTCATCATCCATGTTAATGGAATATTTCATGTAAAAGGCATGCTTGATTTTTTTTTTTTATAAAATAATACATGATATAAAAATTTGCTGTTTAAATATTACAAATAAATATTACTAATAAAATCGAAGACTTCTCGTCTTCTAAATCATTCGAACTCGTACGTATATTTCGACAGATTCCGTTGACTGAAATACTGCGAGCAACAAATAATCGACGATAAGCGGAAGCTGTTGGTCATTTCTGAGATAATGCCATCCGATAAAATAATGTTTCGTGAGATTATTGGCGTAAAAAAGCAAGGAGATCGTAAGACGGTAAAGACCGTTGACGATTGCAATTAAATGGAGTCTCGTTGCTTCCGTGCTTTTATAAAACGTAACGTGTTATTATTCGAGTATATTAATGGTATGTCAGCTATAAATAATATGAATGCGAACATTCCGGTTTTAACCGGACATCCTAACTTTGGTGTTACCTCGAATCGGTCATAGTTCCGACGCGACATGTCTAATTTCTATTTCTTAATTAAAAATCGAAATCAAAAGTCAAATTAAGAACGTGTTCTTCATTATTCATGTCATGTTGTGTATTTTTGATTTTTCTCGATTTTCCAGACGTCTCGATAATAATAACAGACAAATCTAATTCGATTAAGGTTAGAATTTTATAATATTCCAAAAATGAAATAATCACATTTCCACATGCGCTAAATAACATCTGACGACGAATCAAATCGACTTTTGAAAAAGAGAAACAAAAAGAGAAATCTTGTTTTTTTTTTTTTCTTTAATTTTAGATATATGTACAAAAAATTTCAGTTATTATATTAAAAACTAATGATTCAATAGTGTTTTTTATTGTAACGATAGGTAATGTCGAGATTTTACGTAATATTTTCATCGACTTTTCTCGGTGCTTTCTGACTTTTCCGGGTTTACACGATTCCCTACGAGCCATAGCAATCTCGGTTTCTTAATCAGCGAGAACAAATGTTCGATCTCCGATCGTACGCCATGAAGATAGCGGGATCGCGGGCAGGCGGGGCATTGGCTCGATTTACACAGAAGGAATTCGCCTTCTCGCGGATTGAAAGATGCTCTCACCACGGCGAACGGGCTGGTCGTGCAGCCAGGGCGTAATTAGCCCGCACAATAGCGAAGGTGCCAGTAAACTCCTCATTAATCAAAACCTCCGCTTCCACGAGAGAGAAGACCTTGCCCGTTCCCCTATCACCTCCCCTCCCGCCTCCCCCCCCGTTCCTCGGTCCCGTGCCCTCACGAGCGCTGGAAGGAAGGCACGTATTAATTATTGTTCGCGGTTGGTCTTTGTTTACCCCACCAATATTCCAGCCACCAACGCTCGTTCGCGGCTCCCTCCTCATTTTACAAGCGAACATCTTCACGAGAAGCCGGTGTCGACGCTGTTGTTCCTTAATCGCCGATCGATACACCCGTCTAATCACGGGAATCGGCCGTATTCCGCAACGCACTTTGGCCAGGGAGAGACTTCGTAATATCATCCCTTTCTTGCCACCAAAGCCGATGATTACAGCAACGGAAGCATCGCGCCTTCCACCCTCGTTTGCCTTCTCCGTTATGGTTATGCCGCCGTACTCACCGAATATCTTACAACGGGCAAAGTAAACTTGCCCCAGTTTTCAACTCTCCATGGCTCTCGACGGCGAAACAATGAAACCGACCGCGCGCGCGTGCGAACGCACGAGCATCGTGTCCTCAAATTAACGTAACACACTCCCGTCGATGACACGTCGCAAAGTAATCGAGTTTCAATCATGACAAAAATCGTAGATGGATTCGCACTTTGGCGGTATGGGAAACAAATGTGATAATCGAAGATAATTTGCGGATTACTTGCGCGAGAAGCATACCGAAAACGCTTTGGGTGAAACTGACATTGGTAAAGCCATGGGGACAGGACAGGGCGAAAGCGCGGTAATCGATGCTCGGCACCAATTAGTAAAACCAGCCCATGCCGGACTTGCTTTGAGCCGTTTCGCGGAACAATGCGCGACGGAACGCGTGTTTATCGATCGATTCTTCGAAAACTTTTCCGAAGCCCGAGAGAGAAAGAAAGCCGGAGGAGAAAGGAAGAGGGAGGGAGAAACGTCGCGCTGCCTTCACGCTTCGTGCCGTTGTAATTTCACGAGCTGTGTGCCGTGTAATATCTCAAAGGCGACTGTGATAATTCGTCGGCAATTAAAGCAATAAGTAATCTTTCGTTAACAAAACTAACTCGCGTCATTTTTATGCACCGTGTCATTTTATCTCCTAATGATGTAATACTATATACGCTGTAGTCGTAAAGACTTTCCGCGCG